AACTTTCGTATATATATATATATATATATATATATATATATATATATATATATATATATATATATATATATATATATATATATATATATATATATATATAGCCCCTCTTTTGTTGTCCTCTTCTCCCTCTCTGCCTACGATTTACCGGGCAGCTTTGTTTGACTCTCTCTCTCTCTATCTATCTATCTATCTATCTATCTATCTATCTATCTATCTATCTATCTATATATAAAACAAGTCAACAACTAATTGGAGCAATATTAATACCGTATACCATTGTCTTTGTGGTATACGGTACATATTGGGTGGTTTTGGGCCTATGGGCGCCCCGAAGATCATACACTCATGCACGCACACACACAGTGTCACACACAAACACACACAAAGACACACACACACACACATTTTATGTCAGTTGGTCTGGTTGTCAAACAGACTATCTGAAACCTGGTTGGTCATTCAACAGTCAAACAGACATCGCAACACAGTGGGTGACCAAAGGACATACAAAACAGAATATCACCCGGACAGACTGACTCACGGACAACCATGACAGCCTTGCCAACAGACTGGTGTGACAGGGTGACAGAGTGACAGACCGACAGACAGATAAATAGGCTGGCAGAGAGACAATAAACAGACAAACCGACACGGTGACCACTCACACAGACAGTTGAAGTGAGTTACACACAGACGAGCACACAAGATGGCAGAGTGACGGAAAGAGAAACAGGGAGGGTGATAGTTTGACAAACACACAAATATACATGTATATGTGTCTGTCTATCAAACTGTCACCTTCCCAGTTTTTTTTTTCGTCACTCTGCCACCCTGTGTGCTCGCCTGTGTGTCACTCACCCCAACTGTCTGTGTGGGTGGTCACCCCTGTTGTGTTATTGATCACCCCTGCTGTATGTTGTAACAGACAAACAGACAGACAATCCGACACGGTGACAGTGTGACAGACAAATAAACATAGAACGTGGCAGAGTGATAGAGTCAGACAGGCATACAGACAGACAGGGCAACAGATAGACGGAGAGACGGACAGAAAGGCCGACAGACAAATAGGAAAGACAGACATGCACACAGGCAAAGAAAGACAGACAGACAGACAGGCAGGGCAACAGACAGACGGAGAGACAGACAGAAAGATCGATAGACAGACGGGGAAGAGAGACATGCACACAGGCAAAGACAAACAGACAGATAGGCAGGGCAATGTCAGACATTTGTGTCTGGACTACCCGATAGTCGGTTTTTTTTTCCGCTTTTTCTGGTGTTGTGTACAACGGCTATTGCACACACACACACACACACACACACACACACACACACACACACACACACACACACAGTGACATGGAAGACATGCTTTTCAAAGCAAATGAGGGAGACCACCATCAGACAATCTATTACATCGGAAGCGCGGAATCTGAGTCCGATGGAGAAGCAACAACTCTCTCTCTCTCTTTCTTTCTCTCTCTCTCTCTCTCTC